TAGTACAGCCCCCACTGCCACATCACTTGCATCCGCCTGTATTACGAAGGGCCTATCCATGTCTGTGTGCCTCAGTACTGGTTCGGCAGAAAAAAGTCTCTTTAATCTCTCAAACGCTGCTTGGCACTCCATTGTCCATGTTAGTGGGTGGTTAGGTTTTACTGAGGATGCTCCCTTTGTTTTTAGTAAGTTAGTGAAGGACAGGGCTATCTGAGCAAATGAGGGGATGAATTGACGGTAAAAGTTTGCAAAGCCCAGGAAACTTTGTAGTTGCTTTCTTGTGCAGGGTGGTGCCCAATCTAATACTGCCCTGACCTTCTCTGGGTCCATTTCAATGCCTTGTGGGGATATGCGATAACCTAGGTAGTCTATCTTTTCCTGGTGGAATTCGCATTTCAAGAGTTTGGCATATAGGTGGGTGGCTCGCAGTTTCTTTAAAACCACTCTGACTAGGTTGACATGTTTCTCTTTTGATTTGTTGAAGATAAGAATGTTGTCTAAGTAAACAAGGACCCCCTTAAATAGGTGCTCCCTTAGAACGTCATTGATTAATTGCATAAATACTGCAGGGCCTTGTAATCCAAATGGCAAGACTTTGAATTGCTAGCACCCCATGGGGCAGTTAAATGCGGTCTTCCATTCATCCCCTTTCTTAATTCTCACGTGATAGTAAGCTTCCCTTAGGTCTAGTTTAGAAATTTTTTTCCCTTTCGAGAGGTGTGACAACATGTCTTTCATGAGAGGCAGAGGGTATAGGTTGCTTTCACTGATTGTATTCAGGGCCCTATAATCCATGCATAAGCGTAAAGAGCCGTCCTTCTTCTCTCTAAAGAGGACCGGGGCAGCCACTTTAGGCTTGGCTGGCTCAATGAACCCCCTTTTTAGGTTTTTCTTTATGAATCTTTCCATTTCCTCCTTCTCCTTTGGGCTCATGGAGCATAATCTGGGCTTCGGGAGTTTTGCCCCAGGCTTGAATTCAATGGCACAGTCTGTGGGTCGGGGGGGGAGCTCGTCCGCCCTCTCCTCACTGAAAACTTCAGCAAGGTCTCTGTATTCCTCTGGTATTTCTGGTAGTCCCTTTTCCTCTCCAATGGATGCTTTTCTGTTCTTGATTCTGGTAGCCCCCCTTGGGATTTTAAGTCCATAGGGTCCCCCTTTGGGAATTTGATTTCTGCTGTCCTACAATCCACCCAGGGGTTCCATTTTTGTAACCATTCCATCCCTAGGATCATTGGGCATTCCATGCCTGGGGTCACCACAAACGTTATGTCCTCCTCATGTTTGCCCAGGGAGAGGTGTATTGGTAAAGTGGCTAGGGTAGCTGGCACCCCCCCCTGCTATGGACCCATCTAACTGGCCAAATGAGATTGGTTGTTCCAGTCTCCTCGACGGAATGCCCAGATTCCCCACTAGCGTCGGGCTAATGAGGCAGTGGGTGCAGCCAGAGTCTATTAATGCTGTCACCCTCACGGCTTCGGCCATGGGGGGAATTAATATAGTCACTGTCTTGAGGATGGGTGCGATGCGTCCACTTACCAGGGGTTTGCCTTCCGAGCTGTCGTCTGAGGCGTCCACCGGCCCTGCGGTGTAGGCTGGGATTCTTTCCCCCTGCTGAGCAGATGGGGGGGATTCCACAGCTTCCATCATTCTCATTGCAGGTTCTTTTGGCTTAGGTGGAGACTTTCCGGAGTTACTGGCCGGTGATCTGTCTGGGTTGTGTTGGGTTGCTCTTGAGCGGCATTCTACAGCTCGATGCCCTTCTTTCCCGCACTTGAAACACCCCATTTGCTTCTTGGCCGTGGCCAATGGTTTCACTGGTTCGAGTGTCAACTCAGGCGGTGAGCGGCTCCATTGTTTTCCTCGGCGGTGCCTCTTCAATATGTTGATCTCTGCTTCCTCTGCCAAGACGTACCATTCCTCAAGTTGGTGTGGGTCCCCTCGGGGCAGGCAAGCATCATATAGGTCATAATTTAGTCCGTCTTTGAAATGGCTAAGGAGGATGTCTTCTGGCCAGTTCAGTTTGCTGGCAATGGCTCAGAATTCTTGCGTATAGTCGGCTACCGGGCGTTTGCGTCATCATTTTTATCCTTTCGCGGGCTTTGCGATCAGCCAGGGGGTCCTCAAATCGTCTTCTCAGAGAGGACATAAAACAATTGAAGTCGTTGAGCTCTGGGGCATTGGAGTCGTGCAAGTTCATCACCCAATCTGCGGCCGGCCCGTCCAGGGCAGATTGCACGATCCGGATACGGGCTTTGTCGCTGGGGATGTCCTGCCCGTATTCCTCCATGTAGCTGAGGACTTGGGTTAGGAAAAACCCCTATGCATGTAATTCTAAACATTTCCCTCCCACCCTTTTCTGGGGTCATGGTTCACATCTTCCAATCAACTTGGAAGATGTGATTTACATCCGGTTTCTTTTCCCCTTCTGCCTGGTTTAACTATAAAAATGCCAGACAGCTCTGCATATTGTCAAAGCAAGAATATACAGTATTTGCAGGGTTGACATCAAGCGTGTTGGCTCCCCTTTGAATTTCACCTCCAGCGGCGGACGTCTTTGAATGGATCGGTGCCTTCGTTCTCGGTGGTAGCCTCTTCCATTCAGATTGCCATCTGTGGTTCGGCGGGGGGTGGGGACTACTGGATCAGCAGATGTCCCCAGGGCTGCAGGTTCCACTTCCCCTTCGGTGTCTTTCCCTTTGCGGCTCCAGGAGCTGGGGCGGGCATAGGGCTAAGGATTCTCCTCTCCTAGGGAGCTTAGAGTTCTCTTCATTAGGTCGATCGCTTTCTCTAGGATCCAGCCCAAGTACGGTGCCCAGCTCCCTTCCTCTTCACTTGCGTGCAGGGATTTCTCCATCTCCTGCTTCCATTCTGGTTGTTTCACCCCCCGTGTCAGGGTCACCTTTCTTGATTTCTTTTCCCACTCGCCTTTCTTTCCAATGTCCATTGACCACCGAGGTTTGTGGTCCCGTGTCTCCACCACCTCTTCTCCTGAGGACTCTGACCTCTCAGATCCCGACATCTGGCAGGGTTTCAGCCGGGGCAGCGGCTCCCTTTCCGGGGAGTTTTCTCCCTTCCGTGCTCCACCGTCTGACATGGTAATTTTTGCAAAGTCCCCCGGCAAGGGTCTTCCTTCCAGGTGGACTAATTTTGCAAGTCCTGTCTAATGTAAGGACCCACCCCACTTTGCATCTTAAGAAGACAGAACTCTTGGAATATTTCTTCCAACAGGCATCTTTATTAGGAGAAAACTGGTTGCAGGCATTCTAGACAGGACTTGGGGTCCAAGCCCTCCCATTCAAGGTTTTAAGGGATCCCCCAGTAGCCCCACCCCATCACCCCCTTCTTCCAGCGACAGTCCCAGGCATTACATTCCCACCCCCTTTTCCTCACTGCCGGGAGGAAAGACTTCAGAAAGGATTACATGAAAGGTAATGGCCCCATTGTTATTGTTAGTCCTTTTGGTGATATCCACATCCAGTCCCTTTGAAGTATACTGAAGGATGTGAGGGCCATAAAGCCCCTTTGTTCACCCCCTTCCTTTCATCATATGACAGAATCCAGAGAAGGCAGAAATGGGGTTTTCCATAGTTGATAACTAGAGATGAAATATAATTGGATTCTGACACTGAGCTTGTTAAAGTCAGCTCTTTTGTAGTTTAAGACATTAGTTGAATTATTTTCAATTGTTTGTGTTTGCATTATATTGAATTCCAGTATGACGTGGTCACTTTCCCCCAGGGTTCTGGCAATTTCAACTCCCTCTATCACTTCTTCTCTATTAGTAAGAATTAGATCCAGTATAGCTTTACTTCTAGTTCCCTCCTCTACCTTTTGGGTGACAAAGTTTTGGCTAGGTTGGTTAGGAATCTGTTTGCTCTCCCACTCACTGCAGAGTTTGTCTCCCAGATGATATCTGGGTAGTTGAAGTCGCACATTACTACTGTGGTATGCTTCCTACATACATTTGTTAACTGGTTGGCAAAGAGTCCATCTATTTCTTCTCATAGGTTGGGTGACCTGTATTATGCACCTATGGCAATGTCCCTTTTTTCCCCATTTTATATTGACCCATATAGATGGAGGGCTTTTATCTTTGATCATGTGCATTTCTGTAGATATGTAGTATTCTCTTACATATAGTGCAACTCCTCCTCCTCCTCTTTTTGTAGTTATGTTTCAACAATTTGGATCCATCCATCAGTCCATGGGATTATAGTGTCCCATGATCATGAGACCACAATTTGTAAAATTCTGCTGGCCTCCCCATTGACTTTGCATGTCAGAAATTGGCAGTAAAGATGGCAAATGATTATCACATGACTGTGGAATACTGCAATGTTACAGTTGCAAGCAGGTCACCAAGTGCCCAAATTGCAATCAAGCGCCTGTGAAGATTCTGCAATGGTGACAACTATAACAGGGGTGTCAAACTGCCGGCCTGCAGGCCAGATACATCAAGTGGAAGCCGCGCCCACCCCAGCTCTGGCAAGGGGAAAAAAGTTGTGATACGTCGCGACACATGACGTGGCGAGTTTGACACCCCTGAACTACAAGGATCCATTTTAATTCCCCATCATTTAACACCATCATAACTTTGAATGGTTGCTGAATAAGTGGTAGCTCAATGAGGACTACATGTACTCCACAAATTACATCCTACCATTGCAATCACACAAGCTACTTCTTTTTCCTTCTTGAATGCTCTTCATCAGTACATACTCTTTTCTCTTTACTTATCTCATAGTCACCATCTTCCATATGCTGTGGGTCCTCACAAGATGGGTACTGTAGGTTTTGGCCTCCTCTGTCTATTATAGCTTTCATCAGTCAAGACTTCCACACAATGCCTTCAGTAAGAGAGAGAAGGTGTAACTAGGTTGCACTGGTCCTAGTGGAACCAAATGCATCATTCCCTGCCAAAGAGAATTATTATCTTGTCTTTAATAATACTTTATAACATAATGGTATGATTAAAATGATTTCCTTTCTCTTAGGTTTAAGAGGAAAGATGGGTCCTGCAGGACACACTGGAGACAAAGGAGACCAAGGGCAGCCTGGCAAAAGAGGGCCTACAGGATTAGTAGGAAGTAAAGGTGACATAGGACCTCTTGGTCCAGCAGGACCAAATGGGGAGAAAGGTGAAAGAGGAAAAACAGGTCCACCGGGGATCTGTAAATGTGGGCAAATCATACTGAGATCAGCTTTCTCTGTTGGTATTACTACAAGTTACCCAGAGGAAAGATTGCCAATCATATTTAACAAAGTCCTTTTTAATGAAGGGGGACATTATAATCCTTCAACAGGAAAATTCATTTGTGCCATCCCAGGGATTTATTATTTCTCCTATGACATTACACTGGCAAATAAACATCTTGCCATTGGCCTAGTTCATAATGGAAAGTTCCGGATAAAAACATTTGATGCTAACACAGGAAACCACGATGTGGCATCTGGGTCAACTGTGATTTACCTTCAACCTGAGGATGAGGTGTGGCTTGAGATCTTCTACACTGACCAAAATGGCCTCTTTTCTGATCCCACATGGGCAGACAGTCTGTTTTCAGGATTTCTCTTATATGTAGATACAGATTACCTTGATGCTCTGTCAGATGAAGATGACCTGTGATGGAGATGGCTACATACATCTAAATGAACAAAAGGCAGTGGACAGAATCTGCCCATCTCTTTTTATAAGCCAATGCTTTTGTCTGGAATTTTGTTTTTGTTGTCAAAGGTCACAGAGTAAAAGACTTATTTTCAAATAACAGAAACTTTCTTGATTGTCTGCTTCTTTTTAAATTCCAAGAAAAAAACCCCAGGTTTAATACTATGTAAACACATTTAAACATAATATTTTAGACAATAGATATTGAGTAATGACATGGTTCTTGTAAATGACAGGAGTTACTTCAGTTGTTGAATAATGATTATTATGAAAACATAGATATCAGTAGTAAAGGTTTTATTTTTTAAAAAAGAGGTAAGTCTGGGGTAATAAGACATGCTATTACAATTACCTTTTTGAATGATTTCACTCCAATCATAATAGAGAAAAATGAATAGACCAATTTCTGTAGACTTTTAAGTCAAACAATTGATTAATCCAATTCTGTATTAGCAATTCTAGAATTGGTGACTACCTCTGGAAACTTCCATATTTCTTCTCCCCTCCATGATAACTACATTCTTTGTGGGAAAGAATTATATATCTATAAAAACAGAAAACAGAATAACGGAGTTGGAAGAAGAGACCTTGGAAGTCATCTAGTCCAACCCCTGCTCAAGCAGGACATCCTTTCAGACAAGTGGCTGTCCAGTCTCTTCTTAAAAGTCTCCAGTGATGGAATACCCAGAACTTCTGAAGACAAGCTGTTCCACTGGTTAATTGTTCTGTTAGGAAGTTTCTCCTTAATTCCAGGTTACTCTCCTTGATTAGTTTCCATCCATTGTTTCTTGTCTTGCCTTCTGGTGCGTTGGAAAATAGGTTGACCCCCTTTTCTTTGTGGCAACCCCTCAAATTGAATTAAATTGAATTGAAATTGAATTGAAACTGAACTCCCCCACTACCCTGTGTGGTTCTCATTAATTCCCCATTCTGCTGCTCAAAGAGTGAATTAGAATCGATGTACTTCTTTGGGGATTTGATCCATTTAGCACCATTTTACGTTGAAGACTTTTTTGGAATAAATTCTTAGATATTTCCCTTGCAATGAAACACAATTCTCTTCCCCCATAACTATTTTTAAAAATTAAGTAGTAGACTTTTCTTTCTCAAGAGCTATATTAAAATCTATGTAATTTTTCTCTGAAAATGAAATGTTACCTTCATGAACATCATTCTGAACAGTCCAAATCATTATAATCAATCATCATCATCATCTCACTTGATTATGTGTCTTTCTTGGTTAATTACAATTCAATATTCTTATTTGTTTCTAATCATTTTTTATTACCCTGTACTTATATTCATTGTGTAAGTAATTATGTTGCAATATAATTAGTATTTTAATCCAGGTTCCACTCTAAGTAAAAAAATACCATTTAGCTTTGCTCTATTTTAAATATTGGAATCTTACTAAAATAATTGAAAAATGTGATGTTTTCTTTCAATATACTTTGACTGGATCATCACCACCATCATCATGGAAAAACAATTTTATTGCCATATAGACCATACAATTATTCTTGCATTGGAAGTTCAAATAAGCAGCTTGGGGTCAGATGCAGCCCTGATGTGCCTGCCTATGGACAATTATAACTTGCTTTTATGAGAGATTCCCTTGAAAATAATCCAGAAGCAGATACAGAGCATCCTAGTTAGATTGTTCTTGGCTCAGCCATTTTGAGGCTATTGTTCTTGTTTACAGGATAGGAAGAAGATCCCTCAAGAATTTGTTTCCATTTAGGTCCACCTGGTCATTTCATTCTGCAGAGGATGCCTTGCTGTCTGCAGCTGTCAATATTCATGGGCATTCCCATTATGGCACCCACTATGTAGACCAAATTCCTTTGAAGACCATAGAAGATTCCTAGCAGCATAAATTAAAACTCTGTTTGCTCAGGCAAGTCCTAGATTCCTCATATATTATTTTGCAAACCACGTAAGTCAACTTTTTATTAATTGTTGGACTAACAATATCATATTTATCCATTTGCATTTATTGTATATAATGATAACTTTAATAGGAACTAGAATTTTTATCATGTGATGGTTGAATGCATATAACCAATTTATTATCTTCTATTCAGGAGATCCAGATAGGAGAGATACTGAAGGAATTATCTGTGTAATGAAATATTCACTCTCTTGGGCCTTTGGCTTCTCATCTTGTGAGGCATTTTTGTGACCTAAGTTACAAAGAAAACAAAATGGTTCCATGCTGGAGAACAGCAATTTGAATTAGAATACTTTCTACAGAGAACCTGCTCCATGCTGGCTTCTTTTTGAGAAGCTTTCGTATGTCCACTAGTCATAGCTTGGTTTGCATGTTCATTGGTAGTCAAACTAAAAAAGCAAGTTCTATTATCCTTTCTTCTTTTTAGTAGTTTCTGAATTTTAGAAAACTTCGTGAATTCTTTGCAACAAGAGATTGCATTGCTGAGTGCAAATGAACTCCCACATATTCTCAATGCTTTGAAACATTTTTAACATGTTCACTTTGATATAATTGAATAAGTAGGCAAAATCATTTATTTATATCCCACCTTTATTATTTTTACAAATAACTCAAGGCAGCGAACATTGGCAACATACCTTCCTCTTCCTATTTGCTTCACAACAACACATGAGTTGGGCTAAGAGAGAGTCCCTGGGCCAAGGGCACCCACCTGGTTTTCATGGCTAAGGTATGATTAGAACTCACAGTCTCCTCGTTTCTAGCCTGGCGGTTTAACTACTAGACGAAACTGGCTCTCATCAATATTTAATGTTACTATTAAACAAATACAAGGAACTTGCTTGTGTAGCTCTGCATTGTCTATACCAGTATTTAACAGAATAACGGAATTGAAAGGGACCTTGGCAGTTTTCTAATTCAACCCCCTGCTCAAGCAGGAGACTCTATGCTATTTCAGACAAATGGCTGTCCAATCATTTCTTAAAAACCTCAGATGATGGAGCATCCACAACTTCTGGAGGCAAGCTGTCCCACTGGTTAATTGTTCTCATTTCTGAACCTTGGCAACTTTAAGATATCAGCTTCCAGAATTTCCCAGCCATGCTAGGAGTTGAATCAATGCATTAAAGTTGCTGAAATTGAGAAACACTTCTCTCTGCAATTATTTGTGCAAGTTTCAGGTTTCCTTAGTCCTGGGCAGAGATGTGAGGTCTTAACCTAGATTTCTGGCAAAGACTGATATGGGGAAAAGTAAGGCAGAGTCACTGTTGTATCTTACAGGCCAATTTTGTGAAATGGATTACAAAAAATAAGGAGAGATGGCAGGTATGTTCCCTCTCCTGATGTTTTCCAGAGTTATCATTTTTTCTACTTTCTGCTAGAAAGCCATTGTGCAGGAGGGTCTCAGAACTTCATGTGTGGTCCTGGTCTTGCATGCCTGACAGTTATGACCCCCAACTGGACTTCCTACAGACAGCCCTGGATGCTGTTTCCTCTTCTTAAGTACATTAAACAAATTGTACCAATTAATATTTGATAAATGCTATCTATAACAATGATGCTCACACATCTTGAAAATGAACCATAGGTTTATTGTTGCTTGAGGGAACAATCTATGGAATCATTAAAGGGCAGTTTAATCTAGAACAGGGGTAGGCAGCCTTGGCTCTTTTATGACTCATGGACTTCAACTCCCAGAATTCCTGAGCCAGCGTGGGAGTTGGGAGTTGAAGTCCACGAGTCATAAAAGAGCCAAGGTTGCCTACCCCTGATCTAGGACATCCAGTTCACTTTTACAAATTTCTAATGAAAGAAATACAGTACTTCGAGGCCAGTAAATAAGTATTTACTAGGAAAGCCATTTGTCTGAGTTTGTATGTTATGTTTTACCAGCTGGACTATATTTGCTCTATATTAATTAGTAAATGCATCTTTCCATTGGAATACTTTATAATTTCAAGGAACAATTACTACTTAAGAATTCAAAATTCAATGTGTACATATTCAAGGAAAACACTCATTTCAGCTCCAACAAATGACATATTAAGTTTTTGAAGCTTCTTTTGTACAACTCTTATTACATTAAAGGACATATACTATTATATTCCAAGTACTTCAGGGATAGAGGTCTGTGGCAATTTTATTCCTCTTTTTGTTCATTTTTTATTTGCCACTAACTGGGTTGTCCATGGGTGTGTATTGTCAACAAAGCTAAGATGGTAGCTGCAATAACACAATTTGAAATCTTGCACCTTTTTCTGTGAATTGTCCTTGCTACCAGTCATATTTACATAAAAATTTAATTCAGAAAAACCAAGTTTTCCATCAGAAATCTAATTCAATGATCTTTATTACTTTATTTATATAATCATTGGATTGTAAGTCACACAAAATTAGACAGTGCTTACATCCTACTGATTGGATGGAAATCCAGTGTACCAAGTATGGATCACTTTAAATCAAGATGTATAAATCAAAATCTAACATGATTTCCATCAAGCCTTTCCAAACAGGGGGCCTTACATGTCAAAGTCCCCAATTCTCAAACAGCATGAAGGTACCTTGGTTAGAGAAAAGTGATTTAAATATTATTTCAATACCCGCACCCAGTTCCTGGAAGAATTAATCTTAGTAAATAGTAATAGTAAACTATTACCTAACTAAAAGATTTTATACTATCTTCTACCCATGTTAACTAAAACAAAAAACTATATCAAGATTCCGACAGAGACAAATAAAGCAGAACTCTGAGTCTTGTAATTCCTCAAAGAACATGTTTATTGATACAAAGTATCAATGATGCAGGCTTGAAGTAAGTCGCGATCTAGCCCTTGTTTGAAGTAATTGACTAGTGATCATTCAGGCCACTGCCCCAACCGGTTAGCAACTTTCCTGAATTCATGGACATACTCCTTTGCAGGGTGACCTCTTTACCTCAGGCGGTGGATTTCTTTCTCGGCCATCAGGACTTGGGACTCATCTTCAAACTGATGCCTCAGTTGCTCCATGAATAGATTAATGTTCAATTCAGGAGCCCCCTCATCATGGAGGTTGGTCACCCAGTCAACAGTCTCCCCCCTCCAAATTTGCCACCACAGCATTCACCATCATAGCCCTATCCAGGTAGGCATAAGTGTAGCAATCCAAATGA